GAATGAAGTGAAACTGGGGCAGTGGAGGAGATATTTTGAGCAGGAGATGCAGTTCTGCCTCTGCTCTGGACTCATATTTATGCAGCCTGTGAAGGTGGGCTTCTTCTATGTGTGACTTGTAATGTTGCTCAAGGACTTGTGCTTAGAGTGTATACTTTTTAATCATGATTTAAAACAATGGGCTTGGTATTTTCCTTTTGTGCCAGACCTTGTGAATTATATAGCTGGCCCTGATCTGTGTCTTTATTGTAAATAGGAAAACTGTTACCGGGGTTCCTTCAAGTTTACCGAAGTCATCAATACCAATAATTGGTCCACTTACACCATCATTTCCAAATATATCTCCTTCCCTCCATGGGTAGCAGCCCTATTGTCAATTCTGTCACATTTGGTCCTTTTAGTACCTACACTCAAGTTTAAGCATTGACGAACCACTTTCTCAACCTAGTGAAGGAAAATGTGTAATCAAAATTAAATCTATTTGTGGTGATGCAACAGACAACTAGAACATCTTGTCAACAATGAGAAATTCAACAGCCTACCTCTCACCTGAAAACAATTTTTAGATCCTTTGGGATCCATTCGCTGGTAAATCTAGGATAAGGTACCTCGTCTGGGCCTGGAGAGGGTGAAGGTAGGAAGGGTGGGAAGGAAGGTTGCATCTACTCCTTGGGTACATCTTTATATGTCATTTAATGTATACTTTCAACTATACAAGAACTGTATTTAAAAAAAAAATAGCAGAGAAATTCTGATCATTGGAAGACTTTTCCCAGGCCTCTCCTTCCTCTTTTCCACTTGGCTCTCAATTGTTTATGCACCTTTGACTTTGTACCTGATTTTTGATAATTTCTAAATGGGAAACTTGAGACCTTCCTGAGACAACAGACTCAAAACCCATATTGTACCATCATTAGCAAGACCGGAGGAGAAACCAAGTTCCACACCCAACTTTCCTCCTCCAGAATGACTCCACAGTCTCCCACTGCACCAGGGAAGGTATCAGACACTGTGCCTGGCTTTTGGGGCAATATTTATATCATTTAATAAGGGTCTTTGGATCCACTACCTTAACCCAAAACACCAAATATAGCTTTGATAATTTGGTACAAGAGCAAGCACATGGAGGAAAACATTTCAACTTGGCTAAATGAAAGCACCCACCAAATTAGGAGAAATATTACTGTCTCTTTAAAAGCCAACAGTTCCTTCACTAGCTCCACCCAATCTATCCTACTGCCTCTGCAGTTTCAGAGGGTGTGAGCAATTTTTCTTCACAGTTAAAACAAAAGCACCAGCTTGCAGAGTGTCTTTGGAGAAATTTTGAGAACTCATCAACTGGTTGAAAAGAAGGTGAGTCTGGCTGAGAAGCAGACTCACTGCTTCTCAGCACTAGAGTTTTTTGGGCAGTAGGTCAATGAAGTGTACATGGTGTGAGTTCTAGTTGCAGGAAGGATCAGGTTCTGTGCCACAAGTACAGCAGGGGGGTGCTATTAGAGGGTAGTGAAGGAAGGTAGGGAGGGGGTCAGGAGCTTTATTAATACAACTAGAGGTCTTGTGCATGAAAATTCCTGCAAGAGTAGGCATTCCTTTCCCGGGCTGCCAGCACCAGCTTCCCTCCAGCACCTGGGACCCTGGCTTCTCTCCTCTGGCTGCCTGAAGGCATCTGGGACCTGGGCTGTCTTCCCTTGGGCCTTGGCTTGGTTAGGAAGGGTGTCTGGTCTAATTAGTATTATTATAGATGTTACATGTATCGTATTGAACAGGACACATGTGTGCTGACTGGTGCACCTTCGTGCATTTGCTGCTCTGAAAAACACTGAGGGCTGCCTGACAAGCCTTCCTTTTCCCTGGATAGGAAATGAGTGTCCCCAAGGCAGGTCTTTAGAGCTTGAAGACAATATAAATACTGACCTGTTCTAACTTCCTCTTTTTACTGAAAAAGAAGCAGGATCCTGGAGAGTGTGGTGACTCTAGGGGTTGCCCATGCCACTAAGGGCAGAGGATATCTGGATTGCAGTTGCTGAATCCTTTTCATCACTCAGCAGAGAGAAACTCTAATCTGAGTAGTGTGACATGTGAGATGAGGAGGGGGTGTCATAGATAAAGGGTTGGCTATTCTGTAAGAACAATATATATAAAACCCTCTATTCACTGGCCCTAGTTACAGGTTTCCTAAAAGTGTTCTGTTCTGGAAAGAGTGTGGACTCTCCTCCATGTCCTCTCTTGATCTAGCTCTGATTCGATGTAATTTTAGAATTCTGAGAAGACGCTGAAGGAGGCCATGTGTGCAGTGGTTAGGAGGGAAGGTGGTCAGACAGACTTTGAATTTGATACCTGCTCTGCCCAATACCTGTTAGCACTGTGACTTTGGGCAAGTGCTTCAAAATTTTCAAGCCTCATCAATGTCTTTATTTAAAAAGTTAGAATAATAAAATTAGCTTTTTTCAGGCTATTATAGGGGAGTAGGTGAGATAATGTACAAAAAATTATCAGAGTGCTTATTTTAGAATGTCAGCATTGCTTATATCACACACATATCAAATTTTACTGTTGAAAAATGTTAATTTACTCAAAGATAAATGAACATTACAGGGAACTTTCATGTACCTAGACCAAGCTTCCACAATTATTAAGTGATGCCAATCTTGTTTCATTTATAATATAGTGTATACATTCTATATACGCACCACTCCCCTGCCACACCACATTATTTTGAAGCAAATATCATTGTTTCATTTTACCAGTAAATATTTAAAGCCATTTAAAAATATGATCATAATCAAACTTCACAAAGCAAATAGAATTTGTTTTACAAAGTTAACAGTTGCTGCCGAGACTGGTTTGGCTCAATGGATGGAGCATCGGCCTGCTGACTGAAAGGTCCCAGGTTCGATTCTGGTCAAGGGCATGTACCTTGGTTGCGAGCACATCCACAGTGGGGGCTGTGCAAGAGGCAGCTGATTGAAATTCTCTCTCATCAATGTCTCTAACTCTCTATTTCTTTCTCTTCCTCTCTGTAAAAAATAAATGAAAATATATTTTTAAAAAAACCAACAACACAAAGTTTACAGTTGCCTTCAGATTTTTCATTTTATTATCAATCTACCATAACTGAATATCCTAGTTATATCCAATTGTACCTAAATGGTTGCAATTTCTCAGTTTATTAAATTTTAATTTATATAAAATAAAATTCATTACTTTTTTTAGTAGATTCAATAATCAATGTTGTGAACATATTTCTTACATATTAACTTTCATATCTATACTGATAAAAGGGTAATATGCTAATTGGACTGGGAAACCTTGCAGATGTCCTTCTTGATTTCATCTTCCCTATTTCCCAACACTTTTACTGGTGGTAGGGCCAAGGCAGAGGCAGTTAGGGGTGATCAGTCCATGGAGGGGAGGGCAGTTGTGGGTGATCAGGCAGGCGGTGGGAACAGTTGAGGGTGTGCAGGCTGGCAGTGGGGGGCAGTTGGGGGCAATCAGGCTGGCAAGAGGGGGCAGTTTGGAGCAAGCCAGCCTGTCAGGGGGGGAGAGGAATTGCTGCTGAGCAGGCTAGTGGGAAGAACACTTGGGGGCAAACAGGCTGGTGGGAGGCAGTTGGGGGTGAGCAGGAGGGCAAGCAGAGTGGTTAGGGGTGATTAGGCAGGTAGACAGGTGAGCAGTTAGGAGCCAGTGGTCTCAGATTGTGAGAGGGATGTTTGAGTGCCAGTTTAGGCCCTATTCCAAATCAGAGGGATAGGGTAAACTGGCAATCTGACATATCCCGAGGGGTCCTAAATTGGAGAGGGTACAGGCCAGGCTGAGGGAAAACACCCCTCCTCCCCCATGCATGAATTTTGTGCACTGGGCCATTTGTGTGTATATATTTTGACATGTATATTCATTTTATACTAGAGGACCATTGCACAAACAGATTTGTGCAATAGGCCTTCCTTCCCTTGGCTTCCAGCACTGGTTTACCTCTGGCACCTGGCCAGAGTCTGCCTTCTTTGTCTTTGCTGCAGACTCCAGCTGGAGTCTGCCATTTTCTCTGCAGATTCAGGCTGCAGTCTGTTTGTTGTCTTAGTCTTTGCTGTAGACACAAGCTAGAATCTGCCATCTTCATCTTTGCTGCAGACTCTGGATTCTGCCATATACCTCTCTGCTGTGGCCTGAGTGCCACTCCTGTAGTTCCCTTCACCCTCCATCCTTCCTCTCATAGTAGGCGTCTCGCCCGGCCTGTCCACTCCTCGCCTACAGCAGCTGAGTGGCTGCATATTTCTTCTTCTAATTTGCATATTCCCTCCTGATTGGCTGGTGGGCATAGCAGAGTGATGGTTAATTTGCATGTTTCTCTTTTATTAGTGTAGATTTTATTTTATTTTAATTTTTACCTTTTGATTGCTTTCAACCATTTCTCTCACCCTTGCCTCTGGCAACCACCAGTAGATTATCTGGATCTATGAGCTTGTTTATGTTGTTGTAGTTTTTTTTTGTTGTTATTCTTCACCTGAATATATTCCTCCATTGATATATAGTGAGAATGGATCTACTAAAATGGAGGCAGAATCATTTACATAGTCTGGGTTTGGGATTGGGAGACGGTCAAAGGCTCAGTTTTTGTAGGTTCTATTTGAAATGCTCGTGAACTTGTCCAATGGGGAAGCTGAATGGAATATAAAAGTTCAAAATTCTGAAGAGGGTCTAGGCTAAGAAGACATACAAATGGCATTCAAAGCAATAATTTACTGAGTGGATGGGGAAAGGCGCCCAGAACCAGAGCTGAGGAAGCACTTGAAATATGTTCCTGTAGAGAAGAAGCAACAAGTAAAAATGAAACTGACAGTGTGGACGTGAGTAGAAGTGTTGGGAAATAGGGCAGATGAAAAAAAGTGTCAAGTTTATGGAAAATAAAATAAAAAACTGTTGGCTGCATGAGATTTTGGTTTTCAGTTACTATCCATTTCCCTAAAATGATTTGTTTCTTATCTTCAGAAATTCAAACTACAATGGACATTACTCCTTACAACTTCAGTGAACCCAGGACCAGCCATGGTGAGCAGGTGCTTGGGTTCCCCAGGCCAGGTGGGGCTAAGTGAACCTGGGAGTGGGTTCTCCTGTGCTCTCTGCCAGAATTCATCTGAGCAACAACAAAATATTTCCAACCCCATTTTTTATTTTCTCTTAATTAACTCAGCTTTTCTCACGAACCTCTGCACTGTCTCTTCATGACACAGCATAACCTCTAAGAGAAATAGAAGTTAAGGTATCCTTGATCCGAGGCTAATGAGGTTTCTTATTTTCTACTTTGAACAACGTAGACACACCAGAAGGACCAGTTGTAGTCTCTCTTGTTGTTTCTCTGCCATTCTCTTCAGCCTGAGAGAAGACTGTGAAGGAGGGATGTGAGAGGAATTGATTAATTCAGGTCCTAATTTCCTTGCTCCTGGAAGCATATTTTGGATGTAGAAGCCATTTGGAAGTAGAAACCAACAAATTCAACAGACTGGCTCACACAACCCTTCTTTTACTTCCTTATCTAGAGAAATCAACTATATCAGTTGAACTTTTGCTGGTTTGATACCACCCCACAACACAACTTAGTACCCGAGAACCTCCACCATTTCCTTGGCAAACAATTTGGTAGACAGATGGGAAGTTTCTGGGTCTGAGCCAACTGGGCTCCTCTCAGCCAAACTTGTCCATGCCCCAGTGTTAAGCTGGTGGTTCAGTTCACAACTGGATAATCTTTATTTTCCAGATTAAATTAATGGGGGTGACATTGATTAATAACTTTATATAAGTTTCAGGTGTATAATTCTAGAACATATCATCTGTGTGTTGCATTGTCTACTTCCATCATCATATATTTCACCCCCTTTACCTGCTTCAACCTGTTCCCACTCCTCACTCCCCTCTGGTAACTCTCATATTGCTGCCTGTGCTTAGGAGTTTGTGTTTATTTGTATTATTTGTTCCCTTGTTGCTTTCTATTTTATATCCCATATATAAGTGAAATCATATAGTTCTTGTCCTTAGTTCACCTGACTTCTGTCGCTTAGCATACCGGTAATACTATCAAGATCTAGCAACTGGATACTTTTGAATGGATAGTTCCATGTCCATGTCTCATGGTTAGAAGGCTCTTTGGCAAGTTAGGGTGATAGGAATGACAGGGTCTTGTGTCCTTTATCATCAATCATTTGCAGTGTTCTGAAGACATCAAGCCCCAGGGCATCAGCACCTTTGGAGTCTACTTGCATCATGCTTCTACTGCCCTATTGTCCAGAGCAATTCACAGGGCCCACCCAGATGCAAGGGGTGGAGAAACAGGCTCAGCACCTTGTGGGAGGAGTTGCTGACCTACATGCTAAAGAGGCATCAGTACAGGCCTGGGATTCATTCATGGCCATTTCTGCAGACTATCATACAGACTGCCATGTGCTATCAGCATTGGCAAATGGTTGCAGTGTTAGAGCTAGCCTTTAGTGACTTTTCTTTCCAAAGTCAAGGGGCTTCCATGATTTTCCTACGTGTCTCTGGATGACCAACTAATGCCCTTACGTTGGAGTCTCCCACTGTGGTGCTAACTAAATAACAATCTGAAATCCCACCCACATTTTCTCTTCATCTTAGCCATCTTGTAGCCACTGCTCTCTACTTCTAGAAATTTACTTTTCCCATCTCAGAATTCTGGTAATCAAATGTGGGATACTCTGCCTTTCTTGGATTAGTAGCAACTTCACCATAAATGTGTGGAAGATAGGAAATAACTACCGATTTTTTGAAAGCCAGAGTGGAAGGTTTTGTAAAATTTCTATTCTGTTTGATTGAAAAATTTGAATAAACAATTCCAATGTACAGAATAGAAAAATAGGGCACAACAGAACTAAAGAGACCACTTAGCGGGCTGCTGAGTTATGAATGATGATGATAGCTTAGGCTAGTATGATGGTCTTCAAAATGGAGAGAAGGGGTCAGATTTGTGAACTTGCTGATGGGTCAGATCCAGAAGGTAAGGGAAAGAGAAGAATCCAGGGAGATTCCCAGCTTTGTCTGAGGAACTGGATGAATGGTGATGATATCTCTTAAAAATAAAATGGAGTTTATAATCATGTTAGCAATATTGTCAGTGTGGTGATATATGCATCAACTCAAAGCACAGACAATTCATTATAATACAGGTTTCCTCCTGCAAGAGTCAGTCTTATTCAGGGGTTGTGCTAACAGGGTCTTCTTTCAGGGAGAAACAGGCTCTCAGATGTGCTTGTCAGTTGACTTCTATGGTCCTGGTCTGTGCTCAACAAATCCTGAAGTCTTCATCTCTATAGAAACAGCAAAGAGATAAGCAAAGGATTACCGATTGGAAAGAGCTATATAGATGATTTGGTGTTTAACGTAAGACACAGTGATCTTTGAAGTATCACCCAGATGGTAGGCTACGCTGTTCTATTTTTAACTTCCAGGTGTCTTAAGAAGTAGACATGTCTAACCAAGTGAAACTAAAAAAGTGTAACTCCACTAATGCTACTCTGTTATTACCATTATTTATGTATAAAGGGATTTTAGAGTAACTCCAGAGAACTGTCACTACTTTCTGGAGAGAAGTCTTCTAAATATTAATTTAAGGTAGGAAAACTTCATTAGATTTCTACATTTAGGTCAGAAATTAAAAGTATGGAATTTTGTTCTTCCATGGTTCAGAATCCCTGAGAAGATGGATGTATATGTGAAATATGAAGGAACAGATTGCCTTTCTGCCACGTGCCCTTTACCCCCCTTTTAGGATGGGATGGCATGACTTACCCACCTACCTGGCTTCTTAATGGAAAGAACAAAACTTCCATTTTGGATATAAATTGAAGGAAGGAGATATTCCACTATGATGTTCCAAAGTGAGATTTTGTGTTACTTCCTACATTAGCTTATGAGGAACAGCTGCCAGCAATGGCTCAGAGTTCTCGCTTGCATAATTGTTCACCTTCTTCGATGGGCATTTAGCTTCCAAAGGTCAGAGAGAGCAGCTGAAGGGACTCCTAAGAAGTTGCTGGCATACCCCAAGTTTTTCAGGAGGGAGGTGAGGCCTAGGGTTTCCACAGACCTCTGTGTATGCAGAGTGGGCTCACTGACAGGACACTGGTGTGCAATCGAGAAAAATCACTGGGCAGGGCCTTTGCATGGAGAAAGATTGGAAGTCAATTTTAATGCTGTGGTTTTGTTTCCTGATGTCCCAGGGTTTGGAAACCAAGACCCCAGAAATTCACAACTGCGACTCGTCTTAGTGGGTAAGACTGGAGCAGGAAAAAGTGCCACTGGGAACAGCATCCTTGGAAAGAAAGCATTTGAGTCAAGTATTGCATCAAAATCCATCACCAAGGTCTGTAAGAAAGACAGCAGCACATGGCATGGGAGAGAAATTGTCGTTGTGGACACACCTGGTATTTTTGACACTGAGGAATCGGATGTTCACACACAAAGAGAGATTGCTAATTGCATCTACCTGACCTCTCCTGGGCCTCATGCTATGATCCTGGTGGTCCCGCTGGGCCGGTACACAAAGGAAGAACAAAAGGCTGTGGAGAAGATGCTATCAATGTTTGGATCCAAAGCTAGGAGATACATGATTCTCTTATTCACCCGGAAAGATGACTTGGATGGCATGGAGTTCCATGATTACTTAAAAGAAGCTCCCCAAGGCATTCAAGATCTGATAGAGCAGTTCAAGGATCATTACTGTGAGTTTAACAATAAGGCGACAGGGGATGAACAGGAGGCTCAGAGAACACAGCTGCTGGACCTGGTCCAGCGCATAGTGATGGAGAACCAGGGAGGATTCTACACTAATAAGAAATATGAAAGGGCTGAGGTGGAGATTCAGAAACAGATTCAAATTATACAAGAACAATACAGAGCTGAGTTGGAAAAATCGAAAAAGCAGTTAAGTGAGGAGTTTGAAGAAAAAATTAGAAAGCTAGAGGATAAACTGGAACAAGAAAAGACAAAGGCAGAAATGGAGGGGAAATTCAAAGAAAGAGAGATTTACTATTCCTCCAAGCAGCAAAATGCTAGATGTGAAATTGACAGTAAAGTTACTAATATAATTGACATAATCTTGAGGATATTGCAAGACACTTTCTATATTTACTCATCTCTATTCGATGATGATTAAGCTTTTTGAAAATCTGTTTCCTGCATATTTTCAAGTATTCCTTCCCATATAACTCATTCCCCAAAGTCAGAGTTCTCTGTTTCTGTTTCTCAGGCTCTCAGGATAGAGGTGTTTAGTAAAATTTCTTATTGGCAATCACTAGATATTTGTTTGATTCATTTAACAAGAATGAGACACATTCTCAATTTGAAAACTCCAAAGTGGAAAGTATGGATGCTCCCTATCTTCTGAGCTTTCTTGGAAACAGAGAAAGGGACTGCAGGAGACAAAAAAGACAATGATTCTCTAGATTCTTTCTAGAGTAGCACATAATCTCTGCCTATGGTATCTACTTCACTTTTTTGCCTTTAGGATGACAATTATCTTTTCCCCCGTGTGGTTAAAGAAATCAGTAACTTCTATTAGGTAATCAATAGCTGGAGATGCTTAAAGAATTCGTTCTAAATGAAAATAAATTTGGTGAATTACATTCTTTTGGAAAGACTGAAATAGTTCCTTATCATCTGCCCACTCAAGAAAGAAGAGTTCTCTGAAAAACAGATTTCTCAGAACTGAACTAAGTGAAATGCCAGAAATAGCAAAAACAGAGATTCAACAGCTAAGAGAAGAATGTTCAGTATATTCAGAAGTTTCTGTAGAAAGTCTTTGAGAAACCTCAAGATAACCACTTTTCTGAATAACTAGTTCTCTCCTCTTCCTATGAAATTAACTGTTGCCACCGCACCTCCATCACCCCATACCTTGATTACTTACTGCTAGGTGAGTCAGCCCCACACTAATACCCTGACCCAGTTCAATTGTTTGCTTATTGTTACTATAATAAAACTTTTCTATTATCTCACTTTTGTGCAAAAGTAGAATTTCTTTTATTTTGGGAAATACTACTAATCCTACCTAATAAAAGAGTAATATGCAAATTAATCACCACTCCCGCTCCAAACCACACCCACAAGCCATGCCCACCAGCTAATCAGAGTGTGTATTCAAATTAACCCCAACCAAGATGGCGAGGCCCATAGCGGCCAGTGGTTGGATGAAAGACAAAAACCCGCAGGGGTGGGGGCACTCAGAAGCCCCTGGATCAGAGACACAAATTCGCAGGAGCGAGTACCCAGCAACCCCCAGATCAGAGATACAAACCCACAGGGAGGACAGCACCCTACAGCCCATAGCCCTGCCACCCTGGACCTGGGGCTGCGTGGGGCGGGGAGGAGGGGAGGGAGGGGAAGAAGTGCATTGGAGACACAAACCTGCAGGCCTGGCATCCAGGTGGAGGTGCTGGGGCTGCCAAGGGGGGGGGGGGTGGGGTGGGCAGTGGAGACAAAAACCTGAAAGAAACCCGTGGAAAGGGAGATAAAGTATCATAATTGTATCTCTCTTTCCACAAGATGAGAAAACTGCCCCTGCATTATTTAGTGATGTGGCCCACATCTTTCTATAAATACAGGGTATGGTATGACCACTTCCAGGAAGGTCTGGTCAGAATACCATCTCCAGGGAATAATGCTACTGTGGCAAATCATCTAAGAGAAGAAACAAGCTTTAGTTGGATTTATTCTGGAGGTCAGAGAACATACCACCCCATCATATGCTGTGTTGTTATGTTGATGATCTTGAGCTGCAGATGCTTGAAAAACAGCAAATGCATGCAGAGGATTTCACTGAAGTCTCCTGATCTGCCTAAAACTGGACCCCCCAAAAGAAGCTTAAATGTCACAGGTCCTCTTGACGGGAGAAGTGTCATCAGGCAGGCAGAGAAGACTGACTCCTGTCACAGGACAGGAGAGTAGCAGTTGACATCACACCCAAACTTTGTTACAAACTATTTTCCCCCACCCCCATTCATCTTTCCTAAAAATCACTTATTCTCCTCTAAGAGGCCTAGATCTCCCATCCCCTTTCTCTAGGAAGAAGGTATTTAAATCTGCATTCTAAGCCACCTTGGGGAGTTACTCATTTTTCCCTGGGATCTCCCACATATATACAAGGTACACATGTAATGAACTTTTGTTTTTCTCTTAGCGATCTCTCTTTCACTACAAGGGCCTCCACTAAGAACTCAGAAAGGTAGAGGAAAACTATTTTTCTTCCTCCATAATTTTATCTCTTGAAATCAAGTTCCCAGTTGAACAATGAGGTTGGCTCAAGTACCAAGCAGTCCTGGCTGATGGGAGGGAAGCTTCTAGGGAGAAATCAATGATATTGGCATCAAAGTGGGACAAAGGGCATATGCATGTAAATTGGTGGGAGTTTAAAATGTTTCAACATTTTTGGAGGATGATTTGGCAAAATCGATAGAAATGTTCAAGGTACATCCAAGACTCTTCTAGGAATCACATCTGCTGAGATAAAGCACAAGCACATAAGCCCTGATCAGAACCCAGGATGCTACTGTGGGCTCCCTTTCCAAGATGGGAACAACCTGCATTTTTAGGACAAGGTGGCATCTATATTAATAAAAGGGTGATATGCTAATTAGACGGGAGAGGAGGTTAGAGGTGATCAGGCAGGCAGGGGAGAGCAGTTAGGGGGACCAGGCCAGCAGGGTAGAGTAGTTAGGGCAAACAGGCTATCAGGGGAGAACAGTTAGAGGGATCAGGTTGGCAGGCAGATGAGCAGTTAGGAGCCAGAGATCCTGAGGGGTCCCAGATTAAAGAGAATGAAGGTAGAGCTGAGGGGACCCCCTTCCTGTGCACGAATTTCGGCACCTGGCTTCTAGTCCTATATAATAAAAGAGAAATATGCAAATTGACCATAACTCCAACACACAATATGGTCAAAAATAGCTGCCCCCATGTGGACACAAGATGGCCACCACAAGATGGCCAGCAGGGGAGGGTAGTTGGGAGGGACTAGGCCTGCAAGGGAGGGCAGTTGTGGGTGATCAGGCCAACAGGGGAAGGCAGTTGGGAGGGACCAGATCTGCAAGGGAGAGCAGTTGGGGGTAATCAAGCCTGCAGGGTAGGACAGTTAGGGGTGAACAGGCTGGCAGAAGAGGAATGTTGGGGGCAACAAGGTCTGCAGGGAAGGGCATTTAGGTGGGACCAGGCCTGTAGGGGAGGGCAGTTAGGGGTGACCAAGTCTGCAGGGAAGGGCAGTTGGGGCAATCAGGCTGGCAGAGGAGCAGTTAGGTATCAATCAGGTTGGCATGGGAGTAGTTAGGGGGTGATCATGCTTTCAGGCAGAAGTGGTTAAGGGCAATCAGGAAGGCATGCAGGCGAGCAATTGGGAACCATCAGTCCTGGATTGTGAGAGGCATGTCCGACAGGCCTAATAAGACCGGGCCTAACTGGGAATTTGGACATTCCTGGAGGGGTCCCAGATTAGAGAGGGTGCAGGCTGGGTTGAGAACACCCCCAATCCATGCACAGATTTCATGCCCTGGGCCTCTAGCATTTCTTATAAGAATACAGAGATGAATTTCACTTTTTGTTAAAACTACAAGATGATTTTGGAGCTCGGCTTGATCTACCCCTAAGATCTCTCTCATTTCTCCTGAAAGCTTTGTTAATGTAAAAAAAAAAAATAATAATAATAAAATAAAATAATAAAATAAAATTTAAAAAAAAACACATTGAAACCTGTAAAGAAGTTTTGTGAGTTTATTTGAGCCAAACGGTCAACAATTGCCAGGAAGCAGTATCTCAATGGATTGGGATAGTGCTCCAGAGAATGACAGACTTCCATCTATTTTTATACATTGCAATCAAAGGAGGAGACATAGATGGGCTACATGAAATCCATTGGTGAAGTTAAGGTAAAGTTTGACCTTGTCAGTGAAGATACAAGCCTAGTATATAACTACCGACCATAACTGCTTTTAGTTAAAGTTTAATTTCAGAGCATTTTTTGTGGTTACTTTAGGTCTCTGAGTTTTCAAGTCCGCCAAACAGGCCTTCCCTGAGTTTATAGGTTAGCATGTGGCCCCTTTCTTCCAAACATCCCCCTTTTGATCATAAATCAATTCAAAGGATACATTGATGACCAACCTTTTGGTTGGATAATGGAGTCCCTCTGTTCTAGGAAGGCTTATTTGTGGGAACCCCTTTCACGTCCTGCATGGTTCAGGGTTGTGATTCAGGTTACAGGTTCTGAAGAAGGGTGCACACAAATGAAAAGAGACTAGAAAAGTATTAATTTGGGAATATCGGGGGCTAGGTGGGAGTCTACCTGTAGTGGGAGGACTACTCCCTGCTCTGGCCTTGCTATCCCTTTTATTGAGACTATGGGAAACACGCATAGCCCTTAGGCAAGAAACTCCAATAACAGAAATTTACATAAGACAAACAGAGGCGGGAGCTGCTTCAGCTAACAATGTTTCAACTAAACAGTGAGGGAACTAACTGTGACCTTTCAGAGCAATGAAGGTTGTTGACAATGATCAGTTTCTGGCATCTCCCCTATTTCTTTCCTTTAAAAAAATCTTGCATCTCCATACAAGAAATAAACATACAAGAACAAAAAAAAAATGTTTGAGTCCCAATTTCAATGTCCAACAGTTTTGAGTACAAGTCAACAACGATATCTGCATGGTGGACAAATGGTGGCAATGCAGGTCTGACCCTCTCTGATTTGGTCCTGGGTAACCTGCAGCAATGCACAGCTGCTGACTGCTAGCATGGCAAGGCATCATCAGCTTCTCCCATCTCTGAACTGTTTCTCCTCTTGTTGTCCAGGTTGTAGCAGACCTGTCAATTCCTCTGTTGCAGGAATCCACATGGTCTTGGAGTCGTTTTCTGAAAATATACAAACATATTCTCGACCAAAAGTTAATAACGGAATCTTTTCTATAAATTTTACTTGGGATCCTTTTTATTTTTTGCCCAAACAATTTTCCTTTGGCTTATTTTGATAGCATCTGTGTTTTTCATGGGTGTTCAACTGTTAGTGAAAGACCCCCAGAGGGAGACCCTCACTCTGTCCCACGGATTGACGGCAACCCCAATCAACCGCAGGAGGCGTCACTTGATGCAAACAGCAAGAGGCTTTATTCCAGCGCG